ACCAAGTCAACATTTCCATCTATACTCATATACATACATATCTATCTACATACATCCACATAATTCGGATATGCATTCAAATAACAATCTCATACGTATAATAATAATTCAATATTATTAAAAAATTTGGGGCATTACACATGGCCGTGCTTATGACCTTACACAGTCGTGCTCATTTGCGGCAAGCCTAATCATGAAGAGTTTTTGAGATTTTCAAATACTATTAAAAAGAGACCTTGAGGGCAGTAAATGATCATCCTGTTCTACATCTAGTCCTTGATTTGTGACACACCTCTCATTTATCGATCCTTTGGCATACTCTTGGCAGAACTTAGAGTTCCAAGCAACTGTACTTGAAGCTCGAGAACTCATCTCATTCTAATTTGCTTTTCTTTATGACTTTGTTTATGGTTGTTTTAGTTCTTTTATTTAGCATGAGTAACTAAGTTCATAGTTGGGGCTATGAGAATACTCGTTCATGAATTTATGAGATTTTTAAGTTTGAATCTAAGTTTGATTTCCATTTTTATTATTGTTTATCCTATTATGCATAATTGCATAATCCTAATTAATTATATCGTTAGGTGACCATACCTCAATTAGTTAATAGATCTATAGGATGGAATAAAACAAATGATTAGGTGGACCAAACCAATCTTTCTTTTCTAATCGTTATTAAATTAACAAGTTTTATAGGTGTTTTATGCTTTCTTGAATTAATATCTTGCATGACTATTGTAGATGTTAGTTTAGAGAAAAGAATATTATTCCATAACCATTGGATATTGATAGTATTTGTATGAATGATTGGTAATCACAAGGAAATTAATCTTATATCCTTTAAGCTCAAACAATTAAATTAAAAAAATTCTTAGTAATTGGAAATCAATATATGTGGGATGATAATTTCAGGAACTTAATTTAAGAACCCTACATTACTTTTTGATTGGTACACTTGCTCACGAATAGGTACTAACACCTTTAGAGTCTTGACATTCGTACATGTTGTTGGAGATTTTTGAGGAAGTTGGTCATGTACCATAAGGTTAGGCTATCATGTGTACCTGATTTTCATCCTAAAGTGTCCAACTTTGAGTAAGAGGATTGAAAGGTAGCCTTTTTGTACTCTAAGCTATCATGTATGTCAATATCACAGCGGACCCTCTTACCATTCCTCCTATTGTTTCAACCCCTATCCTTGCCTCTTCTACCCCTCATTTGCTCACTAGCGATAGTCATAAGTTCCAACATGCCTCCTTCTATTGATTCTCCAACCTTATCTCTAGTTCCAATTGCCCCTCCATTCACGTCGCTTGAACATGAACTTCTCATTGCACTACGAAAAGGTATTTGGTCTTCTCATAATTCTAATCCTCTTTACGGTTGTACTTATAACTATTATTGTTTATCTTCTTCCTATTTTTCTTTTGTCTCTTTGGATTTTGTCTTTTGCTAAGTCTATAAGTGAAGTCATGGCTAATCCTTATTAGTGCCAAGCAATGGTGGATGAAATGTCCACTTTTCATTCTAGTGACACTTAAGATCTTATTTCCATACCTTTGTCAAGTCCATTGTTAGTTGTTGTTATGTTTATACAATGAAGATTGCACATATTGGACACTTGGCGGCTAAAAACACAAATTTTTGGTTTATATTATGGCAATACCTTTTTCCTATGACTAAAATCATTCGAATTTGCCTTTTTCTTGCTATGACTGTTATTCATCATTGGCCCACTCATTAACTTGATATTAAAAATATTTTCTTACATAGTGATTTACAAGAGATTTATATGGAATAATCTCTATGATTTATTTTTCTTGTTAAGTCTTATCTTGTTTAATATTGTCTTCAATATTTCTTTTACTGTTTGAAATGGTCCCCTTATGCCTACTAGACCCAATGATCAATTACTCGCAGATTTTTTCCTATTAATTTTGTTCCATATTATTTTTTTACAGTTTGTTTGAAGTGAAAAATTGAAGATTGACAAGTAATTTGATCTTTGATGAAACAACGATAAAATATGATGTGTACAAGAAAGTATGAAGCTCTTTCATTTGTTAATATATTTTTAAAATTTGGACTTTCATTTTTTTTGTTGTTGAAAAGACTTGGAAAACATATTAGTTCTGGAGGAATTTTTTTTACGCTCTTTTTTTCTCTAACACCACACTTTGGTAATTATTATATAAAATTAACCTTAAACATCAAAATACGTTGAATAATTTAAAAATAACATGACACGATAAAAATTTAACACATGAGAGTAAAACTTAACATATAAAAACATAAATAAGGGCTCAAGCTATAATGAATTAACAATTAAGTGGTGTGCGGTTAGTACATTTAAACTGTTAGATATATTTTAAAAAATTAATAGTTTATATCTTTTAACTTTACTTTATAGTACTAATTTTCATAAATTTATGATTTAATACTTCATAAATATTTACAAAATTGCTCTTTAGGTGTTTAAAAGTTGTTATTTTAGATATTTATAAGATTGTATTGATAGTTATTTTTAATTTTTTTTTCCATATATTTATCGTGTATGTAGGTTAGTGATTTTAAGAATTAAAACTTTCACATACATTGATGCAGTTTCAATTTATAATCAAAAGCAGTTTTTAAATTAATAGAACATTAAATGTCATTTTAAATTTTAATGCAGAACTCCTATGAATGTCGTTCATGATTTTCAAAATAAAAATTTTCACATGCACTCTGATAATTCCAATTCATTATAAAAATTAACTTTTGTATTGATAGAATATTCAATGTCATTTTAGATCTTTCTCATGTCTTCCTTGCACATTGATTAGCTTAAGTCATTTTTAACCTCACTTAAGCAAAAGTGACAAGAAAAAAATTGTTCATAGGAAGAATATTGCTTAAGCAGTGTTGAATGTAACTTAAGAACATGATTCTGCTTATGCGAAATTGATTTGGCCTTAGCAAATTGTGCAAACAAAGAATTTTTGCATTTTTAGCTTAAGCTAAAAAGAATGACTTAAGTGAAAATTTCAAAAATTATATGGCTATCATTGTATAAATTTAGCTTAAGCAAATATTGTATGGCTTAAGAAAATTTTGTAAAGAATGATTTTCCAACATTTCTTTGTGTTTAACTATATTTCTTTAGTCGCTACCCCTATTTCAATTTAGTCAAGTTATTTGTTGCTAAAAAAATTGAGATGAGTATATGATGTTTTTAAATTTAATTGGTTCCACTTACAAATATCACAATTCAAAGTATGATAATTCAAAGAAAGTACGGTTATTTGAGTTGTTGGATTTGGGAAATAGGTTTTGGATGTTATTTAGGAAGAAGAAATCAAGTGCTAGTAATATTCATATAGGACTAACAAAGACTTGATGCCGATATTCTAAGTGGAGATTATTTGATTTCATTCAATTTCTTAACTTATGTATCTCTTTCAATTTTTTAACCATAAATTTCAACCATTGTAACTAAATCTATCAAATTAGTTATGAGAAACACAAAAGAAAGACTTAAATTAGCTTTAGAAATAAAGATGAAAAACAACATATTTGAGAAAATAGAGTTAAGTATGAAAAAAAATTCACCTTCAAAATTATTACAATTAAACTTTTTTCTAAATTATTTTTAAAAATACTTCAAAATACCTATTTTAAATATGAAATATTTTAATATCTTTAACCTACAAAATAGTTAAAAATTAAAATATAAATATTATAATTTTTAAAACCTATTATTTATTCATGAATTATATAATATACTAACTTACGTTAACTATCACCTAAATTATATATATATATATATATATATATATATATATATATATATAATTGATGTTATTATATAAAAAGAAAAATATAAAAAACTGAGTATAAAATTATAATATTTCTTTCATTTTCTTATTTGTTGTTTATACAATTTTTTAAAAAAATTACATGATGTATTCTTTTATTATATTTAATATAATTATGATTGATGTTGTATAAAATTATACTCAACATTTGTATTAGTTATAAGATAAGACTAATTATTTTCACATTCTTATCTAATAAATTGGGTGAGCCAGTGAGAGAGAAAAAGAAAATTAAGGAATAAATCTTAAACATTTTACTTTACTCAATATTTTTTATTAATATATATATATAATTTAATTATTAAATATGCAATATTGTCTTAATAACTATGTACATTAAATTTTAAATAAATTAAATATTCATAAACATGTGTTACAATTAATAATTTTTATTTTAAAAAGTGTATTATACATTAAAGTCTTGTCAATTAATAAAATATTAACTAAGTTAGGAATTTACTTATTTCAATAATAAATATTCTTAAACTTATGCTCTTTTTTTTAATATAAATATTAAATTTTATCAATTAAAAACATTAAATTAATACACAATTTTGCTAAGAAAAATCAATTCATAAAAGTTTATGTAATTTAAAACTATTTAATATTTAATCAATCAATTTTATTTTAATATAAAATAAATTATAAATAAATATTAATTATAAAATTGTATATTTATAAATATTTAATTTATTTAAAATTTAACGTGCATGTTCAGTTATAATAATATCACATAAGTTAAGATTTGAGGGAGTTTCACAGATTTAGGATATAAACATGAAAAATTAGTTCAATTTTCATAAATACTGGTCAAACTAATTTGCACTTACGAACTTAGGATACAAGAATGAAACAAAAAGTCACTTGTTACTCGAAAAAACACATGAAAAATTAACTAAACTTATCCTATAAATTCAAGTCTAAATATATAATTTGTGCGCCTTCAATTATTCCTCCTAATTATGCATAAATTTCTTCATCCTTTTTTACATTTTTTCCCCATTCACCTTTCTTTTTCCTTGCCAAATTATACTATTAAAGTGAATTTATATTTTGCACACAAACACAAAAGCTGAAGCGATGTCAATAACAAAAAGGTTATAGAAATTATGCGCACTAGTGTAAAATTTTAAACAATCTGTCTTACATTTCCATGCCCTTGTGATGACTGCTCATGAACATGTTATACCAAAATTCCATCTCTTCACCAAACTCACTGGGAGAATTATTGCCAATTGTTCCTCCTGACATATCAGAAGAGACGGCACCATAAAGTCCTAGACGAATAGATGGATTTCTCCTCAAGTGTAAACTATCATTGGCAATCAACACTTTCCCAGTGACACTAGAAGTAGTAGCACCATCCACCCCTACTCGTGCCATATTTATTAAAGTCCCCGAACTAGAAGCTGCTTGGGCCTCTTGCAAGGGATTAGAAGAGGCATTCATCATACTGTGCACTTCACTTCTCTCGAGCCTCTTCTTCAAATGGGTGTGCCAAAAATTCTTAATTTCGTTGTCTGTTCGTCCTGGTAATTTTGCCGCAATAGAAGACCATCTGAGCATCAAGAAATTGATTTCATCATTTATCTACTTCAGAAAATGCAATCATATCACATAATATAAATAAGAACAAATTTAAATCCTCCTATTTTTATACATATATATCTTTCTAATTAATAAATGAAAAAAATATTAAACAATTTTTATATTTTTAAAGTTATTAATACATGTATTTTTTTTTTTTATTTAATACATACTTAATAAGATAGTAAGAGAATTATTTAAAAGATTTGTATAATGATATCACAAAGTTCTGAGTTTACTACTTATTATATGACATTGCCTCTTAATTAAAATTTGTATGACGTGTTATTGTATGGCGTCTTTATAGTTATGTACCCACCTATTTCCGAGAATTCCGTGCAGTTTGAGGATGATCTCTTCTTCTTCCTTGCTGAATTTCCCACGTTTAATATCCGGTCTCAAGTAATTTATCCAGCGAAGTCTACAACTCTTACCACACCTTAACAAACCTAACCAATCATAGTTCGAATAAGTCCATCTATTTAAAAGAGGAGAAAACATGCAACAAGCATTTGTTTCGTTCTATTGATTTATGTAAAATCTTAGTCAGTTTAGTTACCAATATATTAACTGAGACATATAATAATAAACCCAATCGGAAAAGAAGTTGAAGTTGCACACACCAGCTTGTTTTGGAAGGGCCCGCCAGTTTCCATGGCCATATAGTTGAATATGAGAAATCAATATCTGATCTTCTTCTGGTGTCCAAGGTCCCTTCTTCAAGCCCATCTTCTCACAGCAAGGAGTCCTCACCATCGTGCACACTTCAATAATGGGTCTTTATTTCTTTGTATAAACTTGGTAGTTCTGGCTCTTTCAGGATGTAGCCATTGGGTTCCAATCCTCTATGCGCTGGTGAAAATGTAGTTGCGGTCCAAATAAACTGAATGGTTTTCAAAAAAGTACTTGATAATTTCCTTTAATTGGTCTTCCAATTGCTTCTTTCTCTCTTAAAAGCACCCACATTTGAAATTTAAGATAGGGGACCTGATCACAAATTCATTACAGAGATGGGCCACCCACCCAAAGAAATAGTCATAATATTATATGCAATAAGAATGACTTTATATATCCAACAAAACTTGGAGGCTCCTACTACTCACCTTCTTGGTTGCTTCTCTTCGAGACTTGGGCTTCTGTGTAATCTAAAGAAATCATTCTTTTGGTCCGTTAGTCAAAAGTAGTATGCGCCACGGGTAAAATGGACTCATGCATGTCTTATTACTGTTTAGCCGTCTCGATCCTTATTCTCGTGATGTGCTAGAACGTTCAGTCTTCTAAATCATAATTTTAAAATTTAGCATTATTTTTCTTTGATATTATAATTATACTTTTATTTAATCAGGATCCCGAATCTGTTGACGCTTGCTTCCATATTGACGAATGATGATGTGTGTAATAAGTATATTTGATTGAGAAAGAACATGGAAGGCTACAGTGTACAGAAAAAGTTTTTCGCATGACAAGATAATGTGAAGGGAAAATACCGAACAATTTAAATAGGTAGAATCTTGTTAAATCTATAAAGCCTTGTTTGACATGTTCTTCTCCTTCTTTCTATTTGTATAACTTTGTTTTAAAGGAAATTTAAATGAAATTAATTCATATCGTCTTTGATCATTTTTTTGGGAAAAGTGATTATCCAAAACTATCATTTTTTGCCGCAAATGTAGCTGAAAGAAAACACAAGGACATTAATATCCCGAAATTAAGATCTTCAAGCGAGACAAAATAGAATTTTGGGGGGGAAAAAAGTTGTAAAAAACGGGGGGTTCAAACTCCAAACAAAATCCTTTGTCGGAAAGGCGCAGTATAGTAAAGAAGCCCGTGCATGATGTAATGTATATTTTTCCAAAACATGTGGTCGAATAGCGTGACAAATATGTTGGGTTATTTTGGCTCTACTACGTGGAGGAAGACATATATATATATATATATATTGACTCACTGTGTCTCACTAAAACTAATAGAGTGTGATTAGATAGGGAATGAAAAAGAGAGACGTTCATCACAACAAAAACATTGAGAGAAAAAAACTCATTGCTATGTTTGCATCACTGGATCATCATTTTTCAGATTGTAAGTGTAGACTCGTTCACTATTGAATCAGAATGATTTTTGGATAGTAAGTTTATCACATGTGAATCTTTATTTTGTTTGGTTCAATTGTCGAGGAAGGAGGAGAAATAGAGGTTATAATTTTGTGCTTTGCAATTGAAATTTTTTCATCTTCTTGTTTGTGAGCAATGGTGCTTTGTTTGCTTTGACTATTTATAAGCATAGTTTGTACTCATTGAAGATCTTCTTATGTCATTTGTTGATCATAGTAAATTATTTCTATGGTATGAACAACCTATAATTTTTTATCCGTACTTTGAGGGGTTTTTCATGTTAACAATTGTCTGTCTCGTGTTATTTTATGGTTCTATTTTTGCTTTATTTTTGTTGTTGCTCCTCACTAATTCTTGCAAGTTTGAACAAATATGTTCCTTCGGTTTATTGCTTTTCTATTGTGTTTGCGTTATCATGTTGACATTCTCTTGTTAGAATAGCATCCAGAGTATAACGTCCAAAATTTTAACTATCTATTTTATGCTATTAATTGATTTTCTTAATTAATTTACATGAATAAGGTTAATAAGAGACCAATTGAATATTTAGTAGAATTCAAAATTACGTTGATAACGTAGACCAGAATTAAAAATTTATAGTAGAACTTAAGTAAATGAAATGAAAATTTTTGAATATTAAAATGTCATCCCTTAGCTTTAAAATGACATGGATTTAGTAGTCGTACACTTAGAATTCGAATTTTGGTATATTTTAATATTTTTGAGTGTTATTCTAGCTAATCACAGACAGGTCATAGTAAAAAGGTAAAATCTTGAGCTATAGTTGTCAAAATTGAATGGGACCAATTATGTTAGAAAATAGACAAATAGGGCTTCAACATATAAAAATTTTAGGTCTATTGAAGTCATATAGCAATAAACGTAGTAAAAACAAAATAAGACAAAATTTATCCCTTTAAAGACAGAATCATGAATTTAAAGATTTTATTTATTTATCTATTTATTTATTTGCATTGATATATATATATATATATATATATATATATGAATGTTTTTTTGCTAGCTGACACTATTCATGGGAAAGCAAATATGATCCGCTATGTTGCAAATTTTGTAAGAGTTATAAATAAATTGTAAAATTTCAAAGAGATATGTGAGGTACAATATGAAAGTTATGAAAGTCTAAGATGATTGGAAGTTATAAGAAAGTCCTATATCACTTGGGCCAGCTCCGGATAAAAAGTCAAGGGGAATAAGTTAGTGGTAGTGTTAGGGAAAGTAAACCTGACAAATCTTGTATAGGAACGAGCTTAATCTTGATAAGCAGACTATTACCTGGGAGTCTTACGGCCAAGAACTCCCAAGGGACTAAGGATAAAAACTTATATGAGAATTAAGCACATTATTATGTCATTGAAAGTATTTTTATGTTGTTTTCAATTTCAACTTTAAGTATTATTATGTCACATGTATGATTCATATTGAGTCTTTTGACTATTTATTTAATTATTATATATATGTATCATAATCATTATGATCTTGTATATTACAAATGTTAGATATAAAATTTACTTTACTTCGGACCATGTTTTCAATAATGATAATTGAAAGATTACCTTATTGGTTTAACAACCCTTTATTTAAATAAAAACCAAAACAACTGAGAATGAAAACAATGTCAACATAGAAGTACACAACCCTGCTGAGAATTTTAAAAATTTTCACCCAACTTAATTTCCGTTTCATTCTTAGATCTACATGCAACAACAATAATCTACATTGAGTTATCGGATATGCAGCTACACTATGATCCTACTTTTGACTCTCTCTATATAGTTGGCTCATGTTGTTTTAGGGTTATTTATTTAGTAATAGGGACTTTTCTGTACCTCTTTTTCATCCTACCATCGACTCTGTTACTCCATATTTTGCATTTTTACTATCTGTGACACATCCTACACCTGCAGATTATACATAACCCATATTTGCTTCGCCTTTGCGGGTGATCCTCGAAGATCCGCTCGAATCCGAGAGTGACCCATCAGAAGCTACAGACTCATTATCATCCTCCCCTGAACCTAACGATTATACTCCTGCTGAGCCTACTATGACCAATGGCTTTCTGTCTGAGTAGTTGGTAGAGTAGCTAACTTTGTATAATATGTCCCTCTTTTGGTAGGATAGTTTACTGGGTCATGATAGTAGTTGTAGGACACTTATTTCTAAATTGTCCTGTGAGGACTCGTTGAGACTGCACTTTGATGACATAGGTCACCGATCTTTTTGTATGAAATGGTTCATATATGTATTCCTGACTGTATGTAAATAACACGGTATCCTATATACATACACATACACACACACACACACACACACACACACACACACATATATATATATATATATATATATAATGTATAAGTTAAATTAATTATTATGTTTATCTTGGTTATTCCATATTCGATTTTCTTTTATTTTGTTTTTATAACTTCTTACTCTTTTATATATCCAATAATTTACTACTAAATCAACATGAAATGAATGAGGGGAATAAACAACATTTTATTACTATAATACGATTACTGTATTTAGTAATTTTTTTCATGGCTTTAACCCACTCGTCCGCCTTATCAGGATTAAAGGCCACTCTAAAGTTAGGTGGGTTAGCTTCTCTAAATAAATAAATAATATGCCTTTGATCCTAAGCGCTCAGTCTCGCTTGAGTGAGATTTCTCTTGCTTGAGCGAGATTTCTCTCGCTTGAGCGAGATTCCCTGCATCAACCTCTTCTAAAACTCTTCTCAATTTACTCCTAACGCATCCTAATGCTATTTAATATCAAACAAAACATAATTTTCTAAATAATAAAAAGATGGTGTTACACTTCCCACACAAATTTCATCATAAATACACAGAAAAATCCTATGAGAACCAAGAGAAAAGATAATGAGGATGAGAAACCAAAACCCTAACCATTAAAACTTACCTCTAAGTGTTTCCAACATAATTTCAACCTTCAATCTAGCTCCTAAACGGCTTTAGAGGCAATTTAATAGGTGAAATAAGATTTTGGGTCGAGAAAATCGAAGAGATTTTGAATAGAGGAATGGGAAATGAATTTTCTAAACCCTAACCCCTTCAAATACCCCTCTGGTCGCGACACTCTCACTGCAGCGAGGACCTCTCGCTCCAGCGAGGCATCTCTCGCTGCAGCGACGGCTCTTGTCGTTATAGCAAAAATATTAGAGGAAACTACATTCTGGTTTCTGCAGAATCTCGCTACAACGAGACGCTCTCATTGCAGCGAGATTGCACCCAGAAATGCATGTAACGCCCCAAATTTTGTAATATTAATTATGAATAATTATATAAATCTAAATGTATATTCATGTGTGTATTTTTAGATATATGTTGTGAATATGTGTATATATATATATATATATATATATATATATATATATATATAAGTGTATGCATGACTGGTTGGGCTGAAATAGGCTAAGTGCCTAAGTGTAGGGCGTGATACTGGACTATTCTCGCTGTAGCGAGAGAATTCTCGCTGTAGTGAGAGAGCCTTGGGAGGAAGGATCAGAATTGTCGCCTTCTCGCTGTAGCAAGAGACGTCTCGCTGTAGCGATAGAGCAACAGTTTGGGATACATTTCTGGGTGCTGTCTCACTGTAGCG